ACTCTAAGTGTGCAGAGTATTACATATATTCATTAAACTAACGTTTTACCACCATTATGGTGAAGTGTAAGCACTTGCTCAGCACACACAGGAGAAACAAACAAAAAAAAACTATGTAAAATTCTCCCTGAAGAAAAAAAAAACCCTGACAGCCAGTTAAATGAGGTCAAAGACGGAAGCAGACAGTCTGGACTTTTAGTCATTTCTTTGGGGATTTCATCGGTACTGCAGACTCACTGAGCTGCACATGTTCTAGGAGTGCAGTTATTATTAACGCCCCACCTGAGGCTGATGCTGTTCCAGTGCTTATGTTTGTGACAGTTCCAAGACATATCTTGGAGAAAACAATAATGTAGCTACATTCTGAGCATCAGTTCCAGTTCCAGATAGTACTGTTACTATATTTTTGTTGTTTCATAACCAGTTCAGATGCATGTTTTAAAATCTGAAATGTTATTTAATGAATTCCAGTGGCACTGTAGCAGCATTCAATTGTCGTGAGTTTTATCAGTGCCATCTTGTGGCCACAGATGACATGGAGAATATTTTTGGTTTGTATATCATTAAGTCGCAGGACCAACCAAATTATTAGCATATAACAAAAATCAGGAAATACAAAAACGTTTTCATGCTGAACTGCACCAAACGTCTGCAGATAAATATCTGGACATTTACCCGAGTCAAAATCAAGAACCAAAAAAAGTTCATCTCACGTTCTACTCCTTCTTACCAGCAGAGGTGCTGCGGGGCACAACAGGCAATGGATCTGAGACTGCGTTCACTTTGGGGGTGAAACCTGGCACCACTGCTGTTGCTGTGCTGATCTCCCTGAGCAGACTGCTGACCCCCTGGGTGGACTCCTTCAACAGGCTGCCAATACCTTGGGTGGACTCCTTGAGGAGGTGGGAAACAGAGGAGCCTCCTCCTCGAGTCACTCCGCCGTTCAGATCATTGTTGTCGATGTTGATGGCGAACAAAATAGAGTTCAGGCCTGAGTGGAGCAAAGAGACAAAGTCTTTAAAGTGAACCAACTTCTGCATGTTTATTACAGGGGTGAAACATGTAAACACAAACTCACCTGCAGCCATGGTGGGCAGCATGCTAGCTCTTTCTTCATCAAGAATAAATGCCCAGTCTTCGTAATAGGTTCTAAAAAATATTATAAATAAAATTATTATAACTCTGATAAGTCAAATATATATGATTAACTTATAGGAGTAAATAGAGACACATTATCCTACTAATATGCAAATTTGTTTTGCTGAAAGTGTAAAAATGCAAAAATGCTGACCCCAGACGAGGGCGGTCAGCCAGCAGCATGTGCAGGTAGCGCTCCAATGAGTGCTCATTGAGGGCACAACGCAGCCAGGCCCGACCTCGACCCAGCTCAGAGGAAATGTGCCGCAGGGAGTAGAATCTCTGGAGCTCGTGACGATTCAGCTGCTCCTTCACATAGAACCAGAAGGTCAGCTCCGCTGCAGGGTGAAGAGTAAGAAAAAACAAAAAACAATGACATGAGGAGGAGGTGAAGAAGAGGAGGAGAGTTAAAGCGTATAAGAGGAAAAAAGTAAGGAAATCATAAGGAAGGTTGGGGTCAAAGGGAAACAAAGCTGAAAGGTTAAACCTTTGTTCCGTCATGTCTATAAAAGTCAGTGGAAATATCCAGTCCAATGGCCTCAGGATACTGTGCAACAAATTCTTCATTTCACCTTCAATATCCTCATGTACCACTGGAGGTCCACATACCTATGATTTGGAAACTAGTTTAAAAAAATCAACTAATTTATGAGTTGGGCAGAAAGGGAACAAAAAAGATATGATTAAAAGTTAGATGAGGGTGAGGTAAGGTGAGAAGAGATGAGGGAAGAAGGTATGGAGGAGGGGGGAGGGAATTAGTTCTGGCTCATTTATAAGAAATAATAATGATGTGGAGGATCAAACACCACAACGATGTCCCCTGACTCAGTCAGCACATCTTCACACTCTCATTAAAGAATAACCACTGCCCCACCAGTCAGCTCCGTCCTCACATCCTGCCTGACTCCTCTCCCCATATTCAACACTCCCACCAGGCCGACAGCTTTTTATTAATTTCTACAAGTCACAAAGAAAAAAAAAAAAAAAAAAAAGAAAAACACCATAACTCCAACATGGACTTTTTCTAAGATGAAAGACTGGGCTTCCAGTTTGAACAGATGGGGGAGTTTGTACCACATGATTAGCATGTCATTAGCATGTAACCTTCAGCTCAATGTGCTGTAATAATGTCTTAAGAACTCGTTTATTAATACATTCTAAAACCATGATTTTCACCACAAACTTTTCTTAAAATTGACAGTAAAACAGATAAAACGGTCACAAGGAGAACCAGGTATGGCTAACTGACATTAGCATAAAATGTAGCTGGAGAACACTATCCATAACATACATGGTCAGTACGTACTAAAACACGTAAAAACTGCCAAGTTCTAAACTTGTGTGGACCTGCGGGGGAACAGTGCTGCACGTACTGTATGGATGGAAGCAGATAACTTAACTTCACTTTATTGTCTGATGGCCTGGACAGCCAGAGTGTGCATGTGATATTATCCTTATCCCCCAGGTAGGAGCTTCCTGCTGACACCCCTGCCTCCTCCATGCTTTCATGACTCTGTGAACAAGCAGCCCAGCCACCCTCCAGCAAGGTTACAGCCGTCTTTCATCTCCTCCTTTCACAGAGGTAAAAACCTGCGGCTGGAGTCAAGTTTCCGACCTGGTTTTCTGACTTGAGTCCAGAGTTTAATGGAGCGCAGCTCCTCACGCAGTGAACCAAACAGAATGTTGAATAAAGTACCTGCTTCTGTTTTGCTGCTGAAGCCTGCAGCCTGCTTGAGTGCGGCGGCGGTCAGGGCGAGACCTCTGCTTTTCCTGAGGCCGTGCTGCAGAACGGCTTCAAACTGTGCGCACAAACAGATCACCCTGCAGGGACAATTACAGGTCAATGTCAGGGAAGGGACAGGTGCAGAAGTGCTGAGACAAATAGTTCAACCAAGAAAATTATTAAAGTCAAAGCTCTGTTAAAAGGTGACTAAAAGTAAGATGAGACCCCAATAACTGTTAAATAATCATGACTACAACTTGTATTTTAAACAGAATTATTCATGTAAAGATTTTTTTTTATTTCAATATTTAATATTTATTCTTCTCTCTCCACAATTAAAGTCAATTTGTGGCAAAGGTGTGGGACAAAGGTTTAAGTGTAGTAATAGTTGTATTACTTCTTTACTTTGTTCTATATGTATAATGTATATACTGTATATTCTGTTTTGCACAACTTGCACTGCTTCCTGGTATATTTTTACAGTTCATTTACAGCTCACATTACGAGGTTGTTCGTATATATTGTTGTATATATTGTTGTATTGTATATACATTTTGTTGTCCTGTTGTGGTCCATGGTGGCTCTGTGGGAGCACCCTCAATTCCGTTGTACCCCCGTGGTATAATGACAATAAACACTGTTCTATTCTATTCTATTATTCTTTGCGGAACATGTTTCCTCATCGAAGGACGGCTCAGCCCTTCACATGAAGTGACCTGGAATCAGACAAGTAAAGCAAACAGCCTCGTGGTTTGCTGTGCAGACACAATCCAGGTCTAACAACAGGGTTTCTTGGTGACGGTCAACAGCTCATACCTGCTGTCTGTGTCTGTGGCAATCTCCTTTCTACCTCCAAAGCGGATTTGGCACTGAATAGATAAGAGAACAAAGACCTGAATCAGTAGGAGCAGCTACAGAATGACAGGCTGGTCTGATGCAGCAGTACACTGGACCATACTCTAACACCTACAGTGAAGCACTTTCACAGCCATTATATTCAACAATTCAAGGCTTAATTAGCTTAAGTTTGGATTAAGTTATTATTACTACTATATTCATATAACTTTATTTATAAAATCATTCCTATTTAACTGACATCACTGCTATTATTTGGTTTCTATTTTATTTTGTTTTTCTCTGTTGCAGATTTTTCTAAGTACATGGCCTTTTATAACAAAAATGTGATGATAACAAAGCTGAGGGAGACGTCTGAGAAACATGTCGTAAATGTTTACATCATTAAATCAGACACCTTTTGGAATCGTGACATCTGTCCTGCAACTTTTGACTCTTAATAAGAGCTGGTGACCCACCTGTTTGACAGCATCCAGCAGCCTCTCCAGCAGGTGTTGTCTCTTGGTATCATTCTGCTGAGTGCCTGCAACAAAAAGAACCAAGTCAAGACATATTTCTCAATGGATTTCCCAGTTCAAAATATTAGAATTGGCAGTATCTTAAATAAACATAAACAACATAAGAGTAAAGGAGAAAATGGCAATTCATTTGTTGTGATTTTTCATCTCCTTTTTTTCTGCCTGTTTAAAAATAGACAGAAGAGGAACAAGCTGTTATGGCCCACTGCAAGCTTTAATCAGTTGGTGTTTGTATGACAGCATCTTAAGTTCAGTAAATCAGCATGCCCTCTGTTGCTAAGATAAACATGCAAATCAATAAAACAATGACAGTTACATTTGCAACATTTACAGCAGCAGTGTGCACTGCAGATCCAGGAGCTGTTTTATTTCAAATGTTCAACAGGGGGGTTGCACCCATCAGGAGGTCCATAAGATACAGAAAGGAGAGGTGTGAGTTTTTTGCCCTAAACTATTAAAAGCTAGTTAGAAGAGCTAAAAGGTAGCCTTGACATGCAATGCATTGGTCCATCTGGAGAAAATGTGGTCAACATTTTGCAAAAACCCAAATGGATAGAAAGTTTGTTGTGTTTAATTTGAAAATAGAAAATATCACATTTCATCTGCTAGTGGGAACATTTCACTTTCCTTTCTGTTGACAAGTCAAAACACGTGTCTTTAGTTTTGGAGGAAAAAACGAATTTCTTTTACTTTTATTTATTTTGAATTACAAAATCCAATTTGATGTAGAGACCGTAAACTCACCGTTCATCGTGACTGACATTCTGCAGTAGAAGAAGTGTCATCCAGGCTCAACACTTCACCTCCTCCTTCGTATCCATCAACCACACAGCGACTCCATGCTGCTTCAGCGGCCGAGCTAGGAACACCCGACCCCGGCTTTAAGACTGATGAAGAGCCGGTGAACAGAGGGGCCTGCTGGGAGCTGTAGGACTCTGTGGCGTGTAGGAGCAGCGGAGGAGAACCAAATACACACAGGAGTGTGCACACGGTCACCTGGAAGTATCTGTGAGAAGTGTGGTGGACTGAAACGCAGTTGTTTTCAGTACGGAGCCTGTGACACTGCGAAAAGGAAACGGTACCGACTCAGCAGGTCACATGACCAAACACACGGCTGTCATATGACACCCGAGCATTGCATGGAAATGTAGTCTTTATATCAAGAAGCCTTAAAACGCGATGAACCACTAACACGTTACGTCGCAATTAACGTGTGAAGTGAGTTTCACGTTGAATATATTGGCCAACTGAGGAGGAGGAGGATAAAGGTTGTTTTAGGGACCGTCATTAAATTACTGTCTTCAAACGAAAGTAAATGTGTTTTTGTTATACAGTATTTAGCCTTCACGTCTGTGACACGGTGATCTCAAACAATGGTAAATTATTTTAAAACTCTTTTCGCTCATTATACCACACGTAGTAAACTAAAAAGAATATCATTTTTATGTTTTTTTCCTTACATAATTTAGTAACAAACCAACAAGCTACACATCCACGAAGCACAATTCAGCCTCAGCAGCGACACAATGTACGTCAAATTAAGTTATTAATTTAATGAAATTGGAATATCATTCAAATGACATAATGCATTTAACTTACCAAAACCTCTGATTACTTGTACACACAACCAACCCTTCTCTCTTTCTTTGAGTTCAATTACTGTTGTGGAAATTATCCCCGCGTTCCAGTTCTAACAACAGTTTCTTCTCTATCGCCATTCCTTCTCGTGTTGAAAGTCGAGTCTGTCCTTTCGTATTTTTTTATAAACACTTTAATTAGCTTTATGTTGAAACAGTAGAGGACGCAGTGAAAAAATAATTTTCGAGTGCGAAAGTCGCTGTAGATTTTCTAGATCCGTGACTTTGCGTTCTTTGACCATCCAATCAAAACACTCGAATCATTAACGTAATCGCCTTGGTGTTACCAATTCATAAACTGATTGGTTGAAGAAAATATCTCATTACCTCTCATTTTAGGCTCCAGGTGTGAGCACTACTGATGAAGAAGAAACCGAGAAAAGCCATGTTTTGATGAGCAGACTAGCTACATTTTATAAATATTCATGAAAAATATATTGAAAAATAAGCCACTGATTCTGACACTGGGCAGGTTAGCTGAGAAGGCCTTTATTGGACGGTGAAAAATGAAAATGTTCTCTAGCCTAACAGCTCAGGTCGAACTTTATGTCTCACCTTATTTACAAAATTATGGTCATAATGAACAGGTGAAGCACTCAGTGAGGAAGATGTAGTAAGATGTAGTACACACCCGTTCAAAGTACACAGTCACCTTCAGGAGCTTCTCAGTGAAGTACGCCAAACTGTTTTGTAGATTATTTTTTGGACAATCCAAATGATACAAAAGTAGATGAAGAATTTAATTTTTTTTACATACAGGGTATAAATAACGATAAAATGTGCATCAAACAAACTGGAGATTTCAAAATCAAAGCAAGAACTGAGAGAGTTGTGTGATGTATAACAGTTTCATAGTCCTACTCCCTTACAGGGCGAGAAGTTTCCTTCTTATCAGTCAGATAAGAACATGTGGATCAAATTTTGGAATCCAAGACTTTACTCCGGTCTTATCATTATTATTGCGTGTTGGCAGAACAAACAGAATTCCTGTCTGCAGAATAAACAGTTGAGCAACTTAAACAAATATAAACATCCACAGTTCAGAGTCCCTCAGTGGCAGAACGGGACCATCTCATACAGGCAGTGTCTCTCTGGACGGTACCGCGGTCTCACAAATGTTCGACATCGCCACCTCTGTTTGAGTGTTTGCAGGTCTGTTGCTGCTCTTCCGGAAAGAGTTGCGTAGGCGGCTGGACACACGCCTAACCACTTGGCCCAGTCCTCGGTTTTTCAGCTTCTTAATGCCCACGTCGTCCTCCAGCTCCTCTGGGGGCACGTCAATGTTCCCCGTGTACCAGAAGACCCACCAGATCAGGCTGAGGAAAATGACGATGGCACCGGCGTAGATGAACAAGTCGTGTATAACCAGACCTCCAAACACTCCCACCATCATGATGGTGATGCCCAGTATGTCGTGGACGACTGCGAACCAGAAGGAACATTTGCATCTTCCGACTCCTCCGTAGGTCTTCTCAGAGACCTGCTCTACCTGTACAGGCATGGACATCGTGACAGAAGAGATCAGAGAAACCAGGTCTGAAACAGCAGGTGCCTGCAGCAGCCGAGGTGTGTTCCTGAGTGAACGCCATAAAACACTCTCTGGTCAAAGTCCAGTGTACACAGGAGGTTATCAGCACCAGCCCTGTGAACCTACTGGCTGTTGCAAGAGGAAAGTGTTGCCATAGGTTTATTCACATTTTCTGGTCAAACCCCTTGGCTCCATTGCTTCCGCCTCTGCTTCTCTTTCAGCACAGGGATCCAGACAAGGCCCAGCACCACAAACATTAAACCGATGGAGAGACAGGCAGAGGCCATGGAGTGGGAAGCTTCAGTCTGACCGGAGGAACGAAGCAGGAAGAGAAGTCCACCTGCAGCAGACATGAGAGATCCCATCACTATCACAATGATTGCTTTGTGAAGATAGGACCAAGCTGGGCTCCAATCAGAGGCTGAGTCTGGAAACAGGCTTTGACTCCCAGAGTGGTTGGAGAATGGAGTTTCTTCATTAGCTTCCATTGTTGGTTTTACATTAACAACAACCTAATCAGATGTAGATTTGAAGTCCAGTTGTAGAAGTTCAGGGGTCAACCAGACTGGCTGGAGTGTCCTCATCTATCTCACGTCTCCAGTCTGTGAAGACAGACAACAACAGTCGGACTCTTCTGAGTCTGGTCTGTATCATCTCCCACTCAGTAACTCTGGAAAACATTGTAATCCCAGATGGGCCACCACACCACACCCCCGCTGCAGAGAGATGAGACCACCTACAGACTACAGACCACCTGTTGACAACAATAGTATCACCGCTGATTGGCTGGAGCCTGCACGGTCCCCTGTCACCTTACACCGCGCCTCTGTGAGTTCAGATGTGGGATGGTGCCAGATCTGCACGTCAACTGTGAGGATGTTCAGAGTCCATCCAGGTGTGGCTCATATGAAGGTGTAGTTATTGTACCACAGTGTAATTATTGCACGCGGCAACTGAAAGCAGCAGCTGCACAAACCCAAGCACAGTGCCATCAACAAAGGATGTCACATGATACGGCGGCAGGTATAATGCAGTGACGGAGGTCGACCGCTGTGAGCAAACAACAAGTCAAGGCTAATGCACGTCTGATGTGAAAGCACACAAAAGGCACACAAACAGACTGTGTTCAATAGAACATCAACATGTGAGCGATGATCAAACTCATTCAACAGAAGCTGGAGTTTAATAACTGACTGTTCCCTGAAGGTCAAATGTTCAATGTTTAAACTTGTCAAAATTAGTCAGAGAGACGGCGTCTGTACATTTGAGTGATTACAACTAGACAACCCCAGTAACCTGATCATCTTTCTCAGAACCTCTGTGATATCATGTAAGGTTCCAGCATCTGTGCTAAAAAATAAAAACGAATTCACCAAAAACATACAGCAACATTTAATATTAACTGGACGTCACCACTTCTGCTTTCACTCAGCCATGGAGGAAATACAACTCAAACATCACTTCTCCTGTTCCAAAGTTTATTATCTGCTTCAGATGAAGTACAAACAAACAAGACTGAATACATTTTATATTCTTTTTTTGATTATTACAAACACTCTGGTCCTGTCCTCTCTATCAAATGTCCAAGTTTCATCGTCATTATTTCACTTTAGGCACCTTTCTCTTCACTTTCGACTCGCTCTTGCCGACCGCCATGGTCTTCGTTTTCTTTATGACTTTGCTCTGTGACTTTTTCTCTTTCTTGGCTGCAGCAGGTTTGGGAGCTTTCTCCAGCTGCGTCTTCTTCCTCTTCGTCAGTGGCTTCTAGGAAACGAAAAAAACATGTCAGAGTCACTTAAATGTGTCAGAGTTGTTTAAAATCAGGCAGCTGTGACCAACACTGACCTCAACTTTAGCCTTTTTTTTGGGTGTTTCCATAGGAACCAACTGTGGGATTTTTTCTTCCTCCTCCTGCTCCTCTTCTTCTTCCTCCTTCACTGCAGCCTCTGTTTCTTCAGTCTCCTTGTTCTTTGCCTGCTTTTTGGCTGCTCCAGTCTGAAATTGAGTTTGGAGTTTTGTTTTTTTGTTTTTTAAGATATTTACGCTAATTTTCACGCAGTGAGATTCTCAGACAATTCTGTCAAACCTTTTCCTCGTCTGCTTCATCAGATTTTTCTGCTTTTTTGTCTTGGGTGATGTGAGCTAGGTCTGAGTGGTAGATGGGCAGAGCCACAGACGTCTGACTCTTCAGGTGGATGACCTTCATCACACGCCCTTTCTGCAATAAAAGACACCTTTGGCTAAGGAAAGCTTAAAACTATCATAAATATTGCTTTGCTCCAGCTGTTCAATGTTTAGCTGCCATGATAAGGCTCCTTTCATGGCTTATTTTTCAGCTGAAATACTGGCATATTTGGGTCCTTGATAAAAGTTTTCCACCATTTTTAACACATTCACACACACACACACACACAGGCAGAGGGAAACTTCAATGTGGACTTTTTTTTAAGTGATATGTAGTCAATAAATTCAGGTCTGTTTGAGGCAAAACAGGAACTGAGATGCATTTTTCAAACACAAAATGTGACTTTTCTTACAACCTGAAGCACAGGAACACAAATGAATTCTCTTTAGTGTGTTTCATCAGGGATAGGTTCCCTCTTCTAGATAGGCTTTAAAAAACACGTTAAAAAACACACGTCTCCCAGGCGTCTCCACCAACTCTGAGGAGTTTAATCAGACTAATGACCCTGACAACTGTTGTCTCCAGACCACAGGCTGCTGCTGAATGGCAGACTGACTGGTGCAGTTTCATAGACTCACCATTCGTAGCTTGGCCATCACCGTCTTCACGGCAGCCTCAATATTTTCTGTCAGCTGATCTGCAGTCATGCTGGAGTGGCCGATGCGAGCCATGCTGAAGAAAACGACATAGAGAGAGGGAGACAGAAACAGTGATAACTTCAAGTGAGGTCAACAAAAAAGTGAAAAAGACCACACGACACACATGTTGTGAGTCGATCCTTAACTATTGTGTATCAAAGTTGTAGAGATAGGCTCCACGGAGGGAGGAGGTCCATCTGGATTTACGTTGACTTACTCTATGGCACCAAGCGTGACCCGTATCAAACACTGAGCAGAATCGACAGGGTTGTTGTGCGGTGCTGACGCTAACATCTGACATCAATGATTTGTTCACACTCGCATCTACGGTTAATTACGAACAATTAACACAATGCTGTACGTTTTTGGACTGTGGACTTGGCCAAAAAACCCACACACATTGGAAAAAATATGCAAGAAGATTAACATTTACAGGGGTTTGAACTGCTGCCCTTTAAGCTGTAAGGTTAGTGCACTCACCACTCTTCCATAGATCACATGGTAAAACAAAAAACAAAAAACAAAAAAAAGTTCTACTCACCAGCAGCTGCCTTTATTGGTGACCTTCAGCTTGGATCCCTGGATGATGCTCTGGATGTCTCTAGCCAGGTTTTTGCTCAGCAGGTTCACACACAGTGGCTCTCTGGCAACAAATATATGCAGATTAGCCACGTCTCTATCCTTATGGGCATTATTTAAGTGTGACATGACATCAAAGATCTTACTTCTTCCTCTCGTAGAAATGTTTTCCTAGGTGAGACGGCAGCAGTCGTCGGATGCGATCATCAGAAATGAACATGTCAAAGTTTCCCAGCAGCCGACGCTTGGCTTCATATGGTTTGTACTCAGTCTTTAGGACCTTGTAAGGGATGATCTGTCCAGGAAATAAATGAGTTAAGTGTGAGTAACGTTTGTATAGGAATTGACAAAGAAAAACTTGATTTGTAAAAGTTGAAATAAGGAATTCTGGTTCGCACCTCAGAGATGCTTTTGACCCCTCTTTCCTGCAGTAGCCTCTTGTAAAACCTCTGAGTCTGCTCTGAGGTCATTTTGGGCTCATCTCTGGTGAAGAGGCAGATCTCGTCTGAGTCTGTTTGCTGGCCATGAGGTAATGGACTGAGGATGAGGAAAAATCCCCAGTGTCAGCGATAATGAAAAGAAAAAATGAAGAAAACAGAACAGAAGATAAAGTAGAATGTCAGGGAGGAATTCCTTGTTTCATCAGTATAAATAACTTTGCCGGAGTCTTGAGTTTCTGGTTGTGTGCATGTCAAGTTCTTGAATGTTTGCCATTTTATTTAATGAAGAAAATAGACATCAATTTTAGCAGTGGTGGCTGTCTGAGGGGACACAGTTTGGACTCACATGCGGATGGTCTGAGCCTGTTTGGGAATCCTCCACAGGGTGAAGAGCAGACTGATGTGTTGAGTGTCGTCCAGGAACAGAGAGCTTCCGGAGGACTTGGTTTTCAGGAAGGCTTTCAGAGCCTGGACGGCCTTTTTCACCTGACACACAAATTAATTAACATCTTGTTTTTCAAAAGTATAACATGAACGTTTCTATACAAAGACTCTTCACTACTTCACGTTCTTTTTCTAAAGTTAGCTTCAGCTAAGCTAGGGCTAACTACCCAAACTACCGCCGCGTGTGTACTTAAACAATACACTTTTTAAATTTTTTTCATCGTCATATAAACGTATGATATGCAATGCTATATAATAAGAATATAACTACAATATTATAGTAATAACTGCGTTTTTTACCTGACTTCGATCTAACTCAAATCCAGCCTGTTCAGCCATGCTGTATTCTTCACGTGTGGACCGCAGCCGCGCAGGCGCAATGGGCGTAGTACGTATGTGCTACGTCACAGAACGCTAACTAAAACTTTATGAATATACTGTATATATATATAAAAGCAAAACACGGTGGATTATAAATTCCTTTATTGAATGAAACGCTTACCTTTGTTTATACGAATAAAACATAATCAACTAATCAAAAATAAAAAGAGAAAATAAAAAACTTTAAATATAAAACGTATTTAAGTTCAACATTGCAATGGTTTGTATCTGTGATTTCGACTATAACCGAGGTTTTTCTGATCTTCTCTAAATATATGTAACACTACTATTAGTAGAGCTGTCACTTGTGAAATCATAACCTTGGTTTTCAATTTGAATAGCCTGGTAATTTAGTTGGATGAAACACTGATATTAAACCTAAAAGATATTTCTACCTAATATTTGATAAGAGAATTAAATGTTTAAAAGCCGAGT